AAATAAAATTATTAGAAAATAATTATGTTAAAGTTATTATAATTTAATTTTAATAAATTAATATTAAAAATGTGGCTAATTATATAAAAGATTAAAAAAAATTAATTCATGAATCAACCTCTAACATGTTAGGATCGATTTAAGATTAACAATTATTGATTCACAACTTGTATATAACCAAACTCATAAAACACGTAATTAAAGTAAACATAACTCGAACTTAGTTCGATCTACCCGTTTATTACCTCTAACTCTACCTATGTAGAACACACTCTCTTCTTCCTCTCCTAATCAAAGCACAGGCATGCCAAAATCCTTGTCCTCCTCTCTCAGTGGATGAGCAAGGGCTCCTTCTAATTCTTCCTCTATATCAATTCCATCATGTTTGGTACGAACATAACAAATGCATGGAAACAAAATTATACTAACGTAAAAAGACACAAAATTACTTATGAACTCGAATCATCATTCACCCATCTTTGAGAAAGGCAAAGAAAGGAAAGAAAAGAAAAAGAATTGGAATCATACTTAGACAAACACAGAGGGGACTCCAACAAACACAAAGGAGAGAAAAACATAATGGAACCATACCCATTCGGAAAAGCATTTAAATTCGACAACAACCAAGTATGGAATGGAAAATTATGTACTTGCTCGAGCTTAACAAAAGATTTAAAACAATTGTGGAGAAATTACAGAAGAACTCATTTTATTTTTTAAAATAGGGGGCAAATTCGGGGAGAAAAATCGAGAAAAATTGGGTTTACTGTGGAAGGAATAGGGCAAATTAAGGGAGACAAATGAGCCAGGACGTCTTCACAATTTTTTTTGCCAGAGCGTCCTATTTTCTGTCTTCCTTTTTTTTTTTGGCAATTCAGGTGTATATTTGGGTTTTAAGCCCAAAATGAGAAAATATCCTCACTTTATTAAGTTTGAAGATTTTAACCCCTCACCTTACGTTATAACATTTTTAACTCATCACTTTACTAGATTTGTAGGTTTGAGCCATTCATTTTATATTATAATATTTTTAGTCCCTCATCCATTAAAATTGAAGGAAATAGCTCTCACTTTGTAACATTTTGTTAGTTGTATTAGCTAATTATTAACTCTATTAATTGACTATTTGTTAACTGTTAGTTAATTGTTAGCTTACAAAAATCTTCTTTTAGCTAACTGAGTTAACAAAAGTAATTTTATAATATTTCGTTAATTCTGTTAATTGATTATTAGTTAACTGATAATTGACAAAAACCTATTTTCAGCTAATAGAGTTAACAGTCAGTATAAAGTGAAGGCTATTTTCTTTGACTTTAATAGGTAAGGGCCTAAAACTTATAAATCTAGTAAGATTATGGGCTAAAAGTGTCATGAGGTGAGGTGAGGGGCTAAAACCTTTGAACTTCGTAAGGTGAGGGGTTAAAAGTAAGTTTTTACCAAAAATGTGTTGGTAATGGTACAAATTTTGTCTTTTTAATTTATGTAAGTGTACAAATTTTTTTATATTTAAATTAAGGGCTAAACTTTCATATCTTTTAAATAAGAACGTAAATTTTATAATTTTTTTTATTTAAATATTTATTGAGTAACAAAAATAACGTGACAAATAATAATATTAGATAAAATAT